CCAGCTGAAGTATTAGGGGGTTTGTTAATCTCTGCCAGCTACTGTATTAGGGGTCTGTCAATCCCTGTCAGCTGATGTATTAGGGGGCCTGTTAATCTCTGCCAGCTGAAGTATTAGGGGGTCTGTCAATTCCTGTCAGCTGAAGTATTAGGGGGTCTGTTAATCTCTGCCAGCTACTGTATTGGGGTCTGTCAATCCCTGTCAGCTACTGTATCAGGGGGCCTGTCAATCCCTGTCAGCTGAAGTATTAGGGGGCCTGTTAATCTCTGCCAACTAAAGTATTCGGGGGTCTGTTAATCTCTGCCAGCTCAAGTATTAGGGGGTTTGTTAATCTCTGCCAGCTACTGTATTAGGGGTCTGTCAATCCCTGTCAGCTGATGTATTAGGGGGCATGTTAATCTTTTCCAGCTGATGTATTAGGGGGCCTGTTAATCTCTGCCAGCTGATGTATTAGGGGGCTTTTTAATCTCTGCCAGCTGAAGTATTAGGGGGTCTGTCAATCCCTGTCAGCTGAAGTATTAGGGGGCCTGTTAATCTTTTCCAGCTGATGTATTAGGGGGCCTGTTAATCTCTGCCAGCTGAAGTATTCGGGGGCCTGTTAATCTCTGCCAGCTGAAGTATTAGGGGGTCTGTCAATCCCTGTCAGCTGATGTATTAGGGGGCTTGTTAATCTCTGCCAGCTGAAGTATTAGGGGGTCTGTCAATCCCTGTCAGCTGAAGTATTAGGGGGCCTGTTAATCTCTGCCAGCTGAAGTATTAGGGGGACTGTTAATCTCTGCCAGCTGAAGTATTAGGGGGTTTGTTAATCTCTGCCAGCTACTGTATTAGGGGTCTGTCAATCCCTGTCAGCTGATGTATTAGGGGGCCTGTTAATCTCTGCCAGCTGAAGTATTAGGGGGTCTGTCAATTCCTGTCAGCTGAAGTATTAGGGGGTCTGTTAATCTCTGCCAGCTACTGTATTAGGGGGCCTGTTAATCCCTGTTAGCTGATTTATTAGGGGGCCTGTTAATTGGCAAGTGCTTTTAATGTACCCACTGAGACTAAAAGTGTATCAGCCATCAATTGATATCTAAAGGATTAAGTTGTGACGTTACGGGAGATTTTTTTTAATCATTGACAGTATAAACTGCACCCCAAAACATCCGACTCAAATGAAAATATAACACCCATTATTCATTGTTTGAATTTTTTTTACTCAAACAATAGCATGTTAGAATGACAATCTAATACAAACAAAGCTGATTTGTCAAGATATTGTTTAATTTTCACACTTCAGAATTATTCATGAACTTTTTTCCTAGTAATTTTGATAAGGGCTCACTAGAGATTATATTCAATGATTTCTTAATCAAAGTTAAAAACACTCAAGAGAATTCAGGTCAAATTATGGTGGCCATTATTCTTATTGTTGACAACATCTAGCACCTCAATTCTACATGGAAATCAATGTGACATAATCTCCACCTTTTCAACTTTCATATTTTCACAACAAAGGTGATGACAAGATCACATCATACATAAAGCAAAATTACTCTCAACGGGATTGTAAAAAGGTTTTCTCATTTTTTTTTTATTAGTATTGGTGATGCCTGTGGGTCATGCAATTACATTAAAACAATGCGTTTTATGACCTTACCATCGCAAAGACCTTTTCATATCATATATTAGCAGTTTTCACAATAGTGATGTAATAATCTGCCTGTTTTCAGGGATAGAGGTATCATACAGAAACCATGACTCAAAATTGTGACCTTAGCATTATATAAATACTTTGTATCGGTTTCTGAAACAAAAACAAACTCCCCCAAGATCTTAACTATATGTAATATAAATGAAAATTGATTTCAAATTAAGTTAGAACTAAACCAAATTGGATGATTTCTTGAATCTTGAAATTAAATCTGGACTTAATTCTTGAAAAACTGAAGTCAAAGAAGGCAGAAATTTTGTTGAATTATATATAACTAGTCTAAAAGCAGCACTATTAGAAATTGTAGTTAAAAACTTTGAGCCAGTGTGCAGTGTTCTCACTGTCAAGAGACATCTAATCTGTTGCTGTGAATCTACCACTTATAATATAATATAAAACACTACTGATTGCCTGTTGGGTTTACTGATACCCCAGATTAGGAACCATGGACCTAAACTACTGCTATATATGGATTGTATCCTTTGTAAAGAAGTCTTTGAGAATAAGAAAAGCGTAATGTGTCTAAAAAATCAAACTAATATATTCAAACAACTTCTTGATTGTGGTATTTCTTATTTGAAATTTTCTAGTTCTGAAAAACTTTGATTGTAGATTTACTATCAGAAAAGAGTCCATGACCCAATCTCTCAACATAATCATAACATTGCACCTTGTATATTACCTAAGTACACTCTGACCTGCTTTCATGTTTTCAGGCTCAAACTTATGAAATGACCACTCTGGTTTCTGAATTACATCTTGTCTGTTGCACAAAGATTGTCTTCAACTGATTTGGTCTTCATCTCAGAAGATCTTGAGGTCACTAATTTACTATATATATATATATGGGTATAAATAAATAAATAAAATTCATAAAGTAATAGTAATGGACTATATTTTTGACTTAAAATCAATTTCTGTAAGATCAACTTTCCAAAATACAAATTTTCCAGTCAACCTGCCTGAAAAGTGGTACAATATTCTAAGCAAGCTATGCCTAGAGGTTTGGCCAAGGACCAGCTGGTTGAAAGGATTCTTGAAAACCTAATTATTACCCCTGTAAAAAAAAAGGTTGTTTCTTCTTTTTTTTCCTAAAGAATCTTAATTTTTACTAATTTAATTTTGGAGTCAAACTTTTATTTTGTATAAAAGAAGGTGATGAAAGCCATTCAGAAACCAAAGTGGTCTGACAGTAGTTGAACTTTATATTGCACATGGTATGGTAATGTGCATTACATGACAAATAAAACTGAATCAAGCAAAACAACACAAATCAGCTTTAAATAATCACAGGCCAGACAAAATTATTATTTTAAAGATACCAGGGCTGTTGTTTCAAATTGTTTAGTGCCAGTCATTTTAAATCATAATCAGACACAGAACTAATTAAAGTTTAACCCTTTCAACACTAGGGACCATTCTACCAGCCACATAATTACAAGATATATTCCCTAGAGGCATTACCAAGTGACATCACTTAATGTTAACCTCAAACTTGGCGTTCAGGGTATATGGATTTATTCACTATCAGTGTTAAAAGGGTTAAATACAGTAAAATAAAGACAAATTTTGATTAAGTATGTCTGAAACCTTACCACAGTTAGACATTTAAATGTTAAAGACAACAAACATGCTTGGCAATTACAATCAGGGGCCTTTTACTGGAAAACTTAACACAATTTCAGTGTTACAATCATCTGATTGGTCAATCACTAATACTTATTTTAAATTTTGTTTTATTATCCAATCAAATTACTGTATTTCATTTATTTTATTTAAGTTTTGGAGGCCTTGAAAATTTAGTGTGCCAACCAGATATCACTGGCAAATACAACCAGATCAACAGACCTGACTATCAACTGAGTTCTATGTAATTTTCCTCTTTCCATCTTTTTATCATATTGTTTAATTTTCTTTAAACACCATCAGAACTCATGTCAAAAATAATACCAAGTTCTGCTTTTCATCCATTTTTAACAATCCAAGCAATTTAAATATTTTTCATCCTCATGGTTAACTTTGCTAATGATACATATCAAATATTCATATATATCTTATGATTTTCAAACTGGCCGACCAACATGTAGCCATTTTTATGTTTTGTTTTGTAAATATAAACACACAAAGATGTGTATAATTATTTGAGTATTGTCTCATATAAACCATGGTTCAATCTATTCATTGATAAAAAGAGTGCTAGTGAATAAACTGAACTAAAAGTCAAAAAGATTTCAACATTGTGGTTTATTGACCAGTGTTGGTCTTGAACTTCATATAAACTGAATACTAGACATTTAGCTCTCATAATTTCATACAAGACTATAAGAAATAAATAACATTGTCTGGCCTAGAAAGTACAATCTAGAAATTACAAATAACAGAAAGTAAGGTAGTATAAAATTTATGCTTTGTTTTGATAAATAATAAAATACTGTAGATAAGAAACAGATTATGATTATAAAAACTATTTACACCATTGACATAAAATGTACATAATGACATCCAATATATAGATAACAATAACAAAACAAATAATAATAATAATAGTATGGACATTTTAAAACTGAATACATTGGTCATACCTGTTATAGAGATTTCAATCTAAATAGCAAGTTTCATTTAATTCAGATCCCTTAAAAGTGATACTATGTCTTAGATTGAACATAAAATTTAATTCTCAAGAATGGTCAATATGAGTATATTCATAAAACTAAGTAATTATTGAAAAACGCTTAATCATAATATTAAGCGTTTTTCAATAGTTAATTGCATTTTTATTAAGTTTTTTGGATTCATCAGATTATATAAGGATCCTGTTATGTTATTTATGACACCAGGTGTATCTACTGATGAATATATGCTCTTATTGGATCTTTATGTTCATTCTAAGACGTAGTATCCCTTTAAGAGAAAGTGAGAAAAGGTTCCAAGGTTGCAATTTTTTTTAACTAACTTTTTTTTTAGGACACAAAGATAAATTACTTTGAGGAAACAGCAGTATTACAGATCTTTTCTGGGGTTTCACTCACTCCAATTTTGATATATTCATGTTTTAAGGCTCAAACTTATTAATGACCACTCATTTCTAACTAAGAGCTCACAGCTATTCATATCACATTTCAGAATGATAAACTTACACCCAGTTATATAGCAATTTAATAATTTCAGACTCAGTAGAACTAATCTTAGAAGCTTGCTATAGCAACCTATAAAATCTATGACAGGTATATTTTATACAGTATCTGATACTATTAACATCACCTATTTACAATGATTATACAATGATTACATGACAAACATAATTTAAGTCTTATTGAACAACACAAATCTTCTTTAAATCTGATTCAAATTCATCATCAATTTCCGAGATATCTGGTTCCTTCCCCGTCACGTCTGGCATGAATTTATTATAATCTAAATTATGGCGTTCATAGAATAATATATATGCTGAATTCGTGTCAACTTGACTCTCCTGAATTTCCTGTAAAAGAAAACAAATTTAGGATTTGAGGAAAGTATAAATACAATAATATTGTTAATCTTTTGGGAACATTAATATCAAATAACTGAACACAATTTATGGCATTCTACTCCTGTGTTTTATTGATCACAATGTTTCAACAATTTACAGTGTCATCATAACACTTGGTTACAACATAATGATACCTTCAGATTTTCATCTCAAAATAAGAACTAATATGACAAGAATAAATGTAAATTATCATGAATTTTGCTGTATGGTAGAAACACTGAATTGAAACTGAAACATGAGCTCTTACAAATCAAAATCAGATGTATATGGCAAACGAAATATAAATTGACAACAATGAATCCTCATGAAAAATAGATTGGAAAAAAACTTATAAAGATAATCATTTTGTTGTTTTATTTGAGTCATTTTATGATATCTAATCAACTTTAATTAAACTCAATTCAACACTGATAGAAATATTAGGCAGGTATCTATCAGAACATTATATCATTTAATATGACTAATTAATTAAATGTATTGTATATATAATACTGCCCATGTTTATCAAAATTTTAATAAAGATAACTAGTAAGATGAAGTAAAATTTGATATTGTTCAAATTTCACCTTTATACCAGATATTATTTCATTATTTCTAATTATCATTTCAATTAGTTGTCATAGTAGAGTTGTTAAGAAACCCAATCCTTCCAATATCTAATCATTGCTTCTAATAACAGCCTTAAGCCAGGAATATAAAGGTATGGTGTTAAGTGTGGTATAGGATGTGGGAATCAGTGGCAAGACTCAAGACTGAGTGGGGACCAACTGTTCAATAGACTTTATTCATGCATCAGCCATCATTAAATTTGGAATTGATAAAACTATTTAATGATACTTTCACATGACTTTTACCTTCACACATTTCTGAGAAAAGGCATTTTTAATCCAATTTTTTTGCTGTTTAAAGAGTGTTTAATGACGTCAAATTGACATACATCACTGGATGACATAATTTGTGTTATGAACCTCGTAAAACGAATAAGGTCTATGAGGGATAACTGTTGAGGTTGAAGTCAAATTGAGGCAAAACTGAGGAAACATCATAGTCACAAGCCTCTCCTAGAGCGTTCTCTCAAGAACACTTTCAAAAATTGTATTGAATTGGTGCATTCTGACAAAAACGTACAAAAAGCATATTTTTAAATGTGGAAAAAATAATGTGGGCAAACCCATCCCCCCTGTACCCCTTCTTACACTGTAACTGTTGGGAATATCAATACAGTTGAAGATAGAAAAAATGAATACACATTGTGTATTACGCAAGGTACAGGTGTACACATAGAATGATTTTCTTCCAACAGTTTCGCCTGTATTGATAGTTCTGTATTATACACCACACTAGACTACCTGATCAATTCCCACCTTTATTATCTATAGCTAATTTTAAAACCAGAATTTTCAATCGCTTGGATAAATGAGCTTGCATCCATTAAAACAGCTTATTATAGCAGTGAATCACTCACATCTAGCAAACCTTCTATTGTGCTCAGCCAGAAATTGGTTTTGTACTCTGATTATAAAAGCAAAGTTAGTCCCTTACTAAAATGAAAATCCTGCCTCACCTTACAACTACTGTCATTATAACAGTACCAATTTTTATTGGGATTTTTTGCATAGGCTACATAATGACCACCTCCTAAAATACCAGTATGACACTGAAATATACAAATAATAAAAGGTTATTTATACTCAAATTCATAATCAATGGATTACTATCCAAATACTTCATACATGATTAGAATAGAGAGGTAAATCATTAACATAATCATAGACTTCACTGATACAGCAAATAAGTCATAACTTTAAAATAGAAATACCACTGTTAAAATAGTGCTCAATATATCAATTGTAGAGCAATATAGAAATACCACTGTTATAATAGTGCTCAATATATCAATTGTAGAGCAATATAGAAATACCACTGTTAAAATAGTGCTCAATATATCAATTGTAAAGTGACATAGAAATACCACTGTTATAATAGTGCTCAATACATCAGTTGTAGAGTGATATAGAAATACCACTGTTAAAATATTGCTCAATACAACAATTGTAGAGCTATATAGAAAATACTACTGTTAAAATAGTGCTCAATACAACAATTGTAGAGCAATATAGAAATACCACTGTTAAAATAGTGCTCAATACAACAATTGTAGAGCAATATAGAAGTACAACTGTTATAATAGTGCTCAATACATCAATTGTAGAGCAATATTGAAATACCACTGTTATAATAGTGCTCAATACATCAATTGTAGAGCAATATAGAAATACCTCTGTTAAAATAGTGCTAAATACATCAATTGTAGAGCAATATAGAACACCACAGTTATAATAGTGCTCAATACATCAATTGTAGAGCAATATAGAAATACCTCTGTTAAAATAGTGCTAAATACATCAATTGTAGAGCAATATAGAACACCACAGTTATAATAGTGCTCAATACATCAATTGTAGAGCAATATAGAAATACCTCTGTTAAAATAGTGCTCAATACATCAATTGTATAGCTATATAGAAATACCACTGTTAAAATAGTGCTCAATACATCAATTGTAAAGCGATATAGAATATTAAAACAGAACCTAAACAACACGTTGTTACTCAGAGTTTTAGACAACTGACCGTTTTCAGTCTGCGTTGGACAAGTAAAATTTACTGTCATGTCTACAATGTGAGACCTAGAATGGTTATAACATAAAACAAGATATACTTACAGATAAAGCGTATAAGTCATAACGTGCATCTTTATAATCTTCATCTTCATCTAAATTCACTTCATTCATTTCACCTACAAATCAACATATCATTAGTACAGATAGGCAACATGTATTTACAATACTTACAACTTTTACTCACAAAAAAGCATTCAGTGAATTGAGAAGCTTTTACCAAAATTCATACAAATCAGTTAAAAGGGCCTAAAAGGTCACAGAGATAACACAGAGGTTAAAGTTCGCAATAGTCACACAATGATCTTTATTTTCTTAGCATTTAGCTACATGTCAGGTTGAAGAAAAATTGGTTGAAAACATAAGGAGGTATAGCATTTTCAGCATTTGAGATCATGACCGTAGCTACATTTCTTATCATATACCTACATACCAAAACTGTTATTCATAAGAATATTATGGTGCAAACCTGATTTGTTTGTGTTCGAATTCCTATCTACGATACCATTGGCTGGAGTGGAATGTAAGGAAGTATTTGATTGGCTTCTGGGATTTTTGACATCAGTTTGAGATGGTCTCTGAGCTAGATAATGTGTAGGATCAAAATCTTTGAAAGGAAATTTGACAATTTTATGTGATTTCACCCATCTTCCATTTAAAAACTGGAATCGTTTTAGGTTAATAATCTGAAATGATAAACAGATTCAATTCTGTATAATTATATACATCTAGGAAGGTTACAAACATTAACTGGAGAAATATCTTAATTTGCATCTGATCTACTATAGTCACCCAACATCCACATCCAGGATAATTTCAATACATGAATACAACCAGACCACTTTACTTTTCTTGGTACAGTATATCCTGCTCATGTGCCCACCTTTATTAAACAATCACCTTCAATATGCCACCACAATAAAGTCCCCCCTACCACTTCTTAACGTAATTAATGACTGATAAGCAACCACCTTTACACGCAAACATGTATTTACACTCCTGTGAGATCCAAATCACTCAATTAAGCGACCATGACACTTCTCATGAGGATGAGGAGTTGTTGAGGATTATAAGTCCTAGCAAATTGCTGACTTTCTCTCCTGAGAGACCACTTTTACTGTAGTTTATCTACTGATCAACATAATGTAAGTTTAATCTGTATAGTTTCAATTACTATTTATTTTAAGAACAACGAAGAACTTTTCCTGCAGGTCAAATGCGGAGCCAAAATTGACCTAATGAGGAGGTGGCTAATTATTGTACCGAAAAAATAAAGTGAAAAAAATGTATAAACTATACTTACAAGTACAGGGGGTAAGCGCCAAATATCAAGTTTTTTACATGCTAAACAATGTTTTTTACATTTAGAACAATAATACAATTCATCTTCTCCTAATTCCTCTTCTTTTGTAAAAGCTTGTAAACATGTATCTAAATCTATAGGTTCTGTTTGTTTTCTTCGACTTTCTTCTACACTTTCATGTTCTTCATAAAACTACAAAACAAAACATAAAATATCAAGTTTATTGCAGATCTGAATTCCTGAATTATTGTGTATGTCGAATAAGTTTTTGATGATTGCTGTGTCCAATAGCTTTATGATTGTTGCATGTGTCTGATAGCTGTATGATTGTTGTGTGTGTCTAATAGCTTTATGATTGTTGTGCGTCTAATAACTTTATGATTGTTGCATATGTCTGATAGCTGTATGATTGTTGTGTGTGTCTAATAGCCTTATGATTGTTGCATGTGTCTAATAGCTTTATGACTGTTGCATGTGTCTAATAGCCTTATGATTGTTGTGTGTGTCTAATAGCTTTATGATTGTTGCATGTGTCTAATAGCTTTATGATTTTTGCATGTGTCTAATAGCCTTATGATTGCTGCATGTGTCTAATAGCTTTATGACTGTTGCATGTGTCTAATAGCCTTATGATTGTTGCATGTGTCTAATAGCTTTATGATTGTTGCATGTGTCTAATAGCTTTATGACTGTAGCATGTGTCTAATAGCCTTATCATTGTTGCATGTGTCTAATAGCTTTATGATTGTTGCATGTGTCCAATACCTTTATGATTGTTACATGTGTCTAATAGCTTTGTGATTGTTGTGTGAGTCTAATAGTTTTATGATTGTTGCATGTGTCTAATAGCTGTATGACTGTTGCATGTGTCTAATAGCCTTATGATTGTTGCATGTGTCTAATAGCTTTATGACTGTTGCATGTGTCTAATAGCCTTATCATTGTTGCATGTGTCTAATAGCTTTATGATTGTTGCATGTGTCCAATAGCTTTATGATTGTTACATGTGTCTAATAGCTTTGTGATTGTTGTGTGAGTCTAATAGTTTTATGATTGTTGCATGTGTCTAATAGCTTTATGATTGTTGTGCGTCTAATAGCTTTATGATTGTTGCATGTGTCTATTAGCCTTATGATTGTTGCATGTGTCTAATAACTTTATGATTGTTGCATATGTCTAATAGCTTTATGATTGTTGCATATGTCTAATAGCTTTATGATTGTTGTGCGTCTAATAACTTTATGATTGTTGCATATGTCTAATAGCTTTATGATTGTTGCATGTGTCTAATAGCCTTATGGTTGTTGATGTGTCTAATAGCTTTATGATTGTTGCATATGTCTAATAGCTTTTTGATTGTTGTGTCACAACTCTCGGACTATTTCAGGACCACTACAAAAGTTTTTTTACTAAAAGGATTATTGTCTCGGGGGACACTGATATGAAAAAATTTGCATCATTCTAATTTTCAATCTGATGTCTGTGGTTACTGCATTTGTCCTAATACTAAGTGTTTGATGACAACACTAATCTTGAAGGGCCTTATTATTTCAGTGGACTTGCAGGAACCACAGATATCTGATTTAAAATTTAAATGGTACAAATTGATGCTATCAGTGACCCTGATACACATAAAAAATTTAGAAAACCTCTTAACAATCTCTTTAAATTATCATTCTTTCCACAGAACCTATGTTAAAAATATCTATTAAAGACTGAATAAAGAGTAGGTCAATTTTAGACTAATACAATAACTATCAGAGATCAGATATGGACTAATACAATAACTATCAGAGATCAGATATAGAGTCAGTAAGTTTTAGACTAATACAAAAACTATCAGAGATCAGATACAGAGTCAGTAAGATTTAGACTAATACAATGACTATCAGAGATCAGACATAGAGTCAGTAAGTTTTAGACTAATACAAAACTATCAGAGATCAGATATAGAGTCAGTAAGTTTTAGACTAATACAATGACTATCAGAGATCAGATATAGTGTCAGTAAGTTTTAGACTATTACAAAAACTATCAGAGATCAGATATAGAGTCAGTAAGTTTTAGACTAATACAATGACTATCAGAGATCAGATACAGAGTCAGTAAGATTTAGACTAATACAATAACTATCAGAGATCAGATAAAGAGTCAGTAATATTTAGACTAATACAAAAACTATCAGAGATCAGATAAAGAGTCAGTAAGTTTAGACTATTACAATAACTATCAGAGATCAGAAATAGAGTCAGTAAGTTTTAGACTAATACAAAAACTATCAGAGATCAGATATAGAGTCAGTAAGATTTAGACTAATACAATAACTATCAGAGATCAGATATAGAGTCAGTAAGTTTTAGACTATTACAATAACTATCAGAGATCAGATATATAGTTAGTAAGTTTTAGACTAATACAATGACTATCAGAGATCAGATAAAGAGTCAGTAAGTTTTAGACTAATACAAAAACTATCAGAGATCAGATACAGAGTCAGTAAGATTTAGACTAATACAATGACTATCAGATCAGATATAGAGTCAGTAAGTTTTAGACTATTACAATAACTATCAGAGATCAGATATAGAGTCAGTAAGTTTTAGACTATTACAATAACTATCAGAGATCAGATATAGAGTCAGTAAGTTTTAGACTAATACAAAAACTATCAGAGATCAGATAAAGAGTCAGTAAGATTTAGACTAATACAATGACTATCAGAGATCAGATATAGAGTCAGTAAGTTTTAGACTAATACAATAACTATCAGAGATCAGATATAGAGTCAGTAAGATTTAGACTAATACAATGACATCAGAGATCAGATATAGAGTCAGTAAGTTTTAGACTATTACAATAACTATCAGAGATCAGATATAGTGTCAGTAAGTTTTAGACTAATACAAAAACTATCAGAGATCAGATAAAGAGTCAGTAAGATTTAGACTAATACAAAAACTATCAGAGATCAGATATAGAGTCAGTAAGTTTTAGACTAATACAAAAACTATCAGAGATCAGATAAAGAGTCAGTAAGATTTAGACTAATACAATGACTATCAGAGATCAGATAAAGAGTCAGTAAGTTTAGACTAATACAATAACTATCAGAGATCAGATATAGAGTCAGTAAGTTTTAGACTAATACAAAAACTATCAGAGATCAGATAAAGAGTCAGTAAGATTTAGACTAATACAAAAACTATCAGAGATCAGATAAAGAGTCAGTAAGTTTAGACTAATACAATAACTATCAAAGATCAGATATAGAGTCAGTAAGATTTAGACTAATACAATAACTATCAGAGATCAGATATAGTGTCAGTAAGTTTAAGACTAATACAATAACTATCAGAGATCAGATATAGTGTCAGTAAGATTTAAGACTAATACAATAACTATCAGAGATCAGATATAGAGTCAGTAAGTTTAAGACTAATACAATAACTATCAGAGATCAGATATAGAGTCAGTAAGTTTAAGACTAATACAATAACTATCAGGGATCAGATATAGTGTCAGTTTTTGTCTTACTTCTAAGAGAAAGAAATTTGAAAATCCCAAAAGGAAGTCTTAGTAGATTTTCGATTTTCCCAGCTCAACTAGAATCTAATTGTTATTCTTTTATTCAAGTCTTCAAGGATTTCTCTTTACATTGAATTCTGAACTTTTTCTTCTAATAACATTGTTCAAGAAATTTAAGACTTTTCTTTAAAGCAATAACCTTCTTGGAAACATCAAAACACGCCAGTAAAATTTGATACTTTAATTCAACATTAAAACCTTTTTCATGTTCTTCCACTAGAAAAAGAGACTGACTTTAAAATAGGGAAGTAGAATAAAAGAAAATAACCATGCATGTTCAAAGGTAAGGACTAACAAGGCTAATTACTCTGGTTTTTTTTAATCAATATATGAGTTACGTCACTATTTTATCTTATACCATCCTTCATTTTTTAAAACTTTTGAATTTAACAGATATAGGCATTTAATCTTTTGCTTAATCTGCAGACAGAATTTTCATTATTTCTGAATGTAGGTTAATAAGAGATTAATCAAAATATAATATGAACTATAAATACCTTCAGTACTAATGATTCGAACTGTAAAATGAAACCCAAAATCCAAAACAATATATTGGCAATAGCTAATGGACTTTTCACACGAGGAAGTATATCAATCATAAATGAGTAAGCATTTCATAATGAAAAATAATATCAGGTGTCTAGAAGTCTAGGCATACCCTGTCTTAATGAGAGATGTTAAGATATCTCAATCATTCTGATGCTTGACTGTTTCAGAAAAGAGAATAAGAGCCTGGGTTTACTTACACCAGATCATTAAATAATAGATTCATATTTCATTGTAAAATGTGCTTTGGGCAATTGAATGAAGCTGGTAAAGTGAGACATAAGTCTACTAAATTCTTTAGAATATTGTCTGAAGTTATCAGGCATCTCCTTTTCTGATGTCTAGAATAACCCTTGGAGATTGCTCTTGTCTGAAACATTCTGACTCTGACCTGTTTCTGATGGATACTTCTTGACAGTTATAGGCTAGTGTAGAGACAGAAAAACAAGGCATGGTTTATTATTAATTCTTTGTGTCCTAATACAGTAGTTTTAAACTTCTTCATTTCCTTACTCTAGGCCAGTCGATTGCAGTCATTGACAAGTAATTGTCCAGCAAGATATGCCCGATTTAAACATATCTCAGTGATATAAAGGGCAGTAACGAAATATTTGTTAGAATCTACCCTACACAATTTTTTTTGGGATTAAAATCTGACAAAAATGTGGACTGCCATTACAAGCCAATTAAGGACAGCCAGATGTAAGGGTGGAAGGTGTCTCTATGAATCACTAGGAGAGGGGGCTGAGCAGGGCCACAAAATTTTCCAGGGAAGGCTTTTTATACAATGTTGAAAGTTATTTCACTTGGTGAGCTAAAGTCAGGTAAGTTCCTTTTCAGAAACACCATAGTGGCCATGTTAGAAGCTGGTAGAAGGAAATAAGTTTCGGACTTGTTTAAAATAAAGAAAAAGTAGTTCAGATGAAGTAATACAAGTACGACCTACATTTTATTATTTATAGCTAGAAGTCATTGTCTCTCCACTTATCATTACCTGGTACTTAGTATGTTAGGCTGTTAAATTGATCTTGATGATAATCCAAGATGTCCACAAAGTGCGGCATTAAAAGATCAATGAATTCCTTCAGGTATAAAAGAATTTGGAAGTTGAAATTTCCTTCAGCCAATAAATAACAAAAAGACTATACAGTACATTGTAGGTTGTGGATTTCTTGTACAATGTATGCAAGTATTACTGAAAAAAAATCGTCCCAAATCTATCATTATCCAGTTCTACAAAGCCAATAACAGTGTGAATATAACTTATTGTCAGACAAACAAAATGTTTTTAGAATTTTTTCTATAATATGGAATATCCTGCGTAAAAACAAATTTTGAAGACATTATGTGTGCTTTATAATTTCATCAAAGACATTCTAAGACTAACACTACTATTTTGAGAATGCTTTTCCAATATTAATAAAATAAATGGATGAAATTCAAAAATTGTTTTTACTTTGCTAAGACAATAAGTATGTTGCAATGCTTTTTTATGACTTTTGATCGTTGTCATCATGTTAACTGTTGATTTTTGTATGTTTTATTTGTATCACAATGCCCATCAATATTGTATGGCCTAATTTTTTACCTTTTTGTAATTAAGATATTATCATTAATATCTACAACAACAATTATTGTAAAGGACTAAAAATAATGAATAAAGGTAATGGACCTAGAATTGATGCTAACATCTCAGTGCAAAAAATGAAAACCATGGTTAAGAAAATAATTCTAAAAACAGCCCATTGCCTTTGATGTTCTATATTTTTAAGTAGATTAGATGAAACTATGACATGTTCAGTAAGCAGTAAGGTCTGAACATGTAAAGAAATTTATGATGAGATTTTTTTTCTCTATCTTAAGATTTTCTTTTAATTTCACAAAATATTCAATCATAACTCCATCTACAATAATACACACACTTTCACCGATACAATGCCATTATAGCATGTTTCTGATACCTTGTTACATAAATAATTAATATATATGGAGGTATAACGATGCCAAAATTGTTGATTGTATAATGCAAAGTGTTAAATGTTACCTGCATCTGTGTCCCATTTCATTGGATTTTTGAAGAATACTTATACATTTTTACAAATCGACAATTGTACATTGCAGTATTGACAAATATATTTTATTATAACGACATTGGTATTTTAAAGCTGCAACAGTAATGATAGATATTTTGTTGATTTATGGTAGAGAATTTGAACATTGAAAACGGTAGGTCCCCTGAAAATTTGGTCAGGATAAAAACAAAATATCAATAAAATTGGACATCAATTGGACTGGTGGACAACATGCAAAAGCTATAAAACATCGGTAGATCACATATGTACGTGCAACACAATCGACAATTTTGGCAACGTTATACCTCCATAAATATACAGAACAATGTGCTTGATTTAAACGCATTTAAAATATCAGCTGAAGAGACAATTGTATGAAATGCCCAAGAGACATTCCATAAGAATTCTTACAATGTCTTATACATATTTTGTTTATCTCTAATCTTATATAATTATATGTCTTTTTCACACTTCCTGATTGTCAAAACCACCATTGAAACAAGTAAAATGAAACTAGAAAACTGCAAGTATTAATATGGTAAATGTCAAAACCATCATTTTGCTGCCAAGTATCCAAAATTGAAAAAAGCAAAATAACTGTAATTATTAAAGTTATACATTTTGTAGCCAAGTCTCAAAAATCGGAAGTAAGAAGACGAAAGTAGAATAACTACAAGTATCATAGTGATTGTCAGAAACACTATTTCCCTGCCAAGTCTCAGAAACTGAAAAACGAAGGATATTAAGGCAGAATAAGAGTGATTGACAAGGAAAGGTTTATACAGGATATTTACAAGACACTTGAAATGATACAGGTTATCATATTACATAGATAATCATATTGTTAAAAATAAAAAATAAAACTGCAAAGGGTGGAATTAGTCATACAGATTATAGCTTTACATTACAGTATATTCTATTTGAAAGTAGCATTTTAAACCCTGTGTCAGTGAGAACTGTTGAAAAGTATCTAGGTACATAGCTGTCTAACTAGAGTCATCACTAGCCAATTTTGCACAGATAGTCAAAGAGTACTAGAGTAGAATTTTACACAGCCCTGTGGCAGGAGCAAATTGGTGCTGGGGCTCAGGCTTTGTGTCCAGATAGTCTCTCTTCCATGAAATTTTGAAACCTAGATGCATTTCTGATGATTTTGAGGAGCCAAAAACAGAAGAACGTTTTTGGAGAGATCATTTGCTAGGACTAATTCTGACTTGCAGGGCCCAGCCCCCATGGACCGGACTCTGAGAACCAGAAACATGATGTTATGTCTGTATAATGGGTGGCCACTTGCAGCTCAGTCAACAGTTGCTTTTGAATAGAGGTGAAATTGGTTGAAAATTGCTAGGGGTGATTTTCACTGGTTGTTAATTAAAAGATCATGTTGAATGTATGTGATTGTTCATATTACTGCCTGTATCTGGATTACAGATGTCCTTGTTCTAGCTAAGATGGTATAATATGATAAGTTTGGATCAAAATGTAAGTAGATGAAATGTTGGATAATCTCAATAGCCTGCTGAATAGACATTTTCTCATTATTCCAAACAGCTGTTGATTTACCTGTGTTCATCAGTCAAATGTTAAGGTCAGATTAAAACATGTTTTCAGGACTTGTCTGACATAAATGAGACATGAAATTTTTTACAAAGACTGTGTGAGTTTAATCCTTTATAAATTTCAACTTTCAAGAATATCCAAATAGTTTGCTCTTGTTTTTTGCTTTCCAAATATAATTCCTATTAAAAAAACGCCATGAAAAATTTACCATGAAAGCTGCATTGTACTCTTACTGTTTTCAACTTTTAAGGTATTTTGAGTGTAGGAATGAATCACATGGGGCATCAGTTTATAGTGCTATTCTGACAACTACATGTGTTTTATTGGTATAACTGACAGCTCTGCTCTAATATAATAGATATACATACCCTCTCTTGTGTAGTTTGGTAACGTAAGTGTAAAGCTGTAGGTTCCCAATCTATAGCTACAAATGATCCAGCATTATTAAATAAATTGCTATTACATTCTAATTTACAACCACGACAAAACCTGAAATACATAAAAACAAATTTACAATTACTGACAGTAGTCAGAGACTTCACAGCATCTATTTACATCATTCACATGTCTATAGTTCCAGTAATTATAGAAATACTAAATCATATATTATCAGTTATCAGCAGCATTTGCAATAGTGATGTCATAAACACTAAGTTTAAATAGAATTCAAAGACCCATAGATGTCTGACAATTAGAAGGGCACAAAATGATGCTATCAGTGTCCTTGTTCGCAACCAAAAATTGTTTTAAAAACCTCCTTATAATCCCTTAAATGATGTATTTCTGATGGTAAGTAAAAGGCTGGGCAAATTATCCTACCCACATATGTTTGTCGGACAATTATAAGGGCACAAATTGATGCTATCAGTGTCCTTGTAACACAAAATTGTTTTAAAAACCTCCTCACAATCCCTTAAATGATGTATTTCTGATTATAAGTTAAAGGCTAGGTATATCATCCAACTCTAACAGGTCACTGACGTAGGTCAACAGCGACAATTTATAATGTGAACAAAATAAGTCCTTGAGCATTTTGTCTACCACCTGCTCAACGAAACCTCTTGACATTATCTTTTCTGGAACAACCATACCTAGGAAGAAGACTGATTCAAGATAACAATACTTTTGAACATCAACTGAGATAAGAAACCATGCTTGAATGTAGACTTTTTGCTCAACCACATCTCTTGACATGCTTCTGTGAACAACCATACCTGGGTCAATTAATAAAGGAAGGGGACTTATTAAAGATGACCATATGTTGTTAAACATCAATTGAGATAAAAAAAAAAAAACATGCTCTAAATGTGGATCTGGTGCTCTTGTCATTGATACTACCTAAAACAACTATACCCAATTTGGCTGGTTTAAAGGAAGATGGCTACTTCACTCCTATAACATAAACTGAGAGAAGAAACCATGCTTCAATGTAGACCTGGTGCTATGCTTTTGTGAACAACAATACAGCTGGGACAATTAATAAGGAAAGAGGACTCATCAAACCCTAATTACAAACATCAACCAAGTTTAAAGTCGTTCATCAAACCCTAATTACAAACATCAACCAAGTTTAAAGTCGTTCATCAAACCCTAATTACAAACATCAACCAAGTTTAAAGCCGTTCATCAAACCCTAATAACAAACATCAACCAAATTTAAAGCCGTTCATCAAACCCTAATTACAAACATCAACCAAGTTTAAAGCCGTTCATCAAACCCTAATAACAAACATCAACCAAATTTAAAGCCGTTCATCAAACCCTAATTACAAACATCAACCAAGTTTAAAGCCGTTCATCAAACCCTAATAACAAACATCAACCAAATTTAAAGCCGTTCATCAAACCCTAATTACAAACATCAACCAAGTTTAAAGCCGTTCATCAAACCCTAATTACAAACATCAACCAAATTTAAAGCCGTTCATCAAACCCTAATTACAAACATCAACCAAGTTTAAAGCCGTTCATCAAACCCTAATTACAAACATCAACCAAGTTTAAAGCCATGGCATGAACCCACTGAGCTACATTCTGTCATAAAGTTTATGTCATTATGTTGATAATATTTATTGGATGTATCACTATTTAGTATATTAGTCACTATAGAATTTTATTGTATACTGGAACTATAGAATAATATTCACAGAGAGACTATTAACAATATCCCAGAGAATTGAGCTCAGGTCTTCATTGTTATTAACAATTGTGATGCCAAGATAGAAATAATTTAGAACAAATACAATACCATTTCACTTTACTAGGACAAGTTTTTAACAAAGATATGACAATTACAGGGAATTTCAATTAAGAGACTAAAATACAAATTATAAACATTACTGTTTTTAACCTAATTCCAATATATATGCAAACAATTTGATGACAAGTGTCTTTTGTATGTTTGATACATCATTAATATGAACCAGAAATTTCAAACTTGACCATAAAATAATAAAAATCTAGGTCATGTCTTTAACAAGTATCTTTATAATATTAAGGCTTGAAAATTAAGATTGTTTATTTCCCTTTGTTGAATTTTTCCAATAGACAACAATGAGAGTACATTTATATAGAATTGTAGAAAAGAAAAACATGCCAAAGGCATGCTGAATAAGCAGGGGGTTTTGAGGGAATGGCAGCCCTAGAATTTGAAAAAAAATATTTTCACCTTAATTTTGATGTATTTTGAACACTTAAAATCTTAATTTTTTCGGGGGAAATGTGCAATTGACATAAAAATCTCATGTTTGAATAGATCAAAATTAAAGCCACACATGACTGGTTAAACACAGACTAATCTACATGTCAAATATACATTGAAGTGTATGTATATCTTTCGAGGATTGATAAGATTTTAATGTCTACTCTAGGAATTTGTGAAGTGTAAATAGCGAAAGTGTAAAGAACTGCTGCACTAGAATACAGCCTTCAAAATAAACCACTCCATGTTTATATTTATTAGATTTATGGAGAATTAGGATAACAGACAGCTTTTCAAAAACCTTTTAGAAACAATCTCAAGAAAATAAATACAGTTTTTCACTAATCGTTGTTCAAGGAATTATTGTTTTAGAATTCATTAAAGTTTTTTTACAAAAACTACAGCTATCAAATTCTCTGATACACATAAAAAGCTTAGAAAACCTCCTTACAGTCCTTTAAAAAGAGTACCACAGAATAGCGTGCCGAGAACTATTTCCACTTGACTTTACTCAAATTTAACTCGGCAAATTTTATGGCATCTTGATCTCTACCTGGAAGGGAATGCTTTATAGCAAGCCTAGAATCTTTAGTTTTCCTTCAGACTTGATATGAGATTATTCTAGATTCAAGGTGAATGTTCTTTAAATCAGGTTTAATCTTTGACTGATCTTTGATTTGGAAAAAGTCATGATTTGTGCTACAGTTTCAAATCTGATGTTGAGATAAATACAAAATATTTTTTTTGTATCACTGACAAGGAGAAATTCAGTTAAAAATACTTTACCAACTAGACAGTTTCCAAACCACAAACAAGCATGAACAACCTGCAAAACGGTGACACAAAATTGAATAGAATTGAAGTATTTGTAATTTTGAATTTAAATCAAGGGTTTTTTTTATAAATTGAGTACAGATGCAAACTTTTCAATATCAGTCCCTTCAACCTGCATCACAGGCCAGGAGATTTGAAATCTACAAGATGAAATGCAGACCTATTCCAGGTTTGAAAGGTGACAAATATTTAAATAGAATTAAAGTTGATTTGTTATGTGGAAATCTGACATCAAATGATATATTTTCATTGAAAACAGAAATAAAAGGAAAGTTAATATGAATGGACATTATTAATAATATTGTAATTTAATGATGTTTGATGTAATTAAGATAATTATATATGTAATGGTATGATATCTAATCTAATGGTATAACTATATTATTAATACTAACATCTCCTATTTACAACGGCCATGTTTTTTGTTTTTAATTTACATCATTAATTTATTGTGGAACATGATTATATTAAATTGGTATTTTCCAGAAACATTAAAACCCACTTCGTTGATTTTCTAAACATCAACTAGAGATGTCCTACTTAGATACTGTTTTGTTTTATTCAAATCAAAAGCAATTTATCCAACCAAATCATGATTTACCAATGGCTTATTGTCATAATATTCGTGACTCAAGCTTTTTCATATCTAGTTGGAAAGTGATATAACAACCAATCAGAGTTCTTAAAATTATTCATTCCTGATTATCTTAAAGTAACAACATTTCGTCCTCCCGATCATAAATTCCTTAACTGATTTTTTTTGTATCAGATTCTAGAAATCTGCTTGGTCAGCAATATCACTGCAATAACAACCAATCAGATTTCTTTATTCATTCATGATTATCTTAAAGTAACAACATTTCTGCCACCATAAAGTTTGTAGTAAGTGTTTGCTGTCTACTTACAGAAATCTGATTGGTCAGCGATGTAATTTATTACCAATCAATTTAAAATTGTTCAACTATTAACGTTTCTGCCACCAAACCTCTGAAATCAAAATCCATGGCAAACAGCACACTGTGAAACAATTATCAAGAACATTAGGTTGTGTACTTTCATAAATCAGAGCAGTTTCACTACTTACCTATACCACGGACATTTTGCACACGTAAAACCATCTTTTTGGACAACTTTTAACGTAAATGGAAATTCATAGCCTAGACTATCATCACTGAAAAAAAAAAAAGATTAAGTTTAGGGATGTATTACTTCATGTTTCCACACATGCCATATTTATTATACAATTCTTGTAAAATTTAACATCATATACAAGTATTTTCAATTAAAACAGCAAGAATCTCTTGTAATGTCTTTTACATAACAAAACAATTATTACTTCTGTAACCATTTTACTGAGAAACATATTAAATTAAACTTTGTATTCCATGCCTTTTATTTTTCCAAAACCAATGATTTTCAGTCAGGAATACATTCAATTTGTAAAGAGAAAAACCTTGGGTCAAGAATGAAAACTATGTTTCTTGAAAGTGATTGAGTCAGATTAGCGAAACGATGTATAGCTTAAATTTAAATTACAATATTTTATAGTGAAAATATTTTGTTTTAAAAACTTATACATGCAAAAAGTATGAGTAGATGAAATAAACTTGAAATAGGGGCTTTGGAAGAGTAAAGAAAAGATTCCTTACCAATCTTGAGCATGGTTTGCTGTTTTTTGTTCTGAAGGTGGTAGTGGACTGACTAATCTAGCCACCTGCGCCCAAACAAAATGGTATAAATCTTGATTGGCTGTTTTTTCACGACATGGTATAATAATAGGTGTACCAAATAAACTGGGACGTGTTTTCTGAGATGATAGGAAATACACATCCATCAAAATCTGAAATAAATAATTTACATATTATTATTCAATTTAATACAATCTTCTAACAAATTTCTACTAATTTTTTAATCATAAACAGTATTTCAGGTACAGTAACCTAGGACAAAACTTTTTTTTAAAAAACTTAACAGATAAGTAATCTAATTGGTTAATAAACCAAACTGTAAATTTTTCACAATGAAATTCAAACATATTGTTCATCTACAATCAAGCACAAATCTATTTGTAGATGTAATAACAGTTTAAGCTTCTAGACTGTTATCAACATTCTTCCCAGCAGATGTTTCTGAAACTTCCAAACTTAAATTGAGAGAATCAATAAGCTGGACATGAATTGAGTCAATTAGGGAGATGAAAATGTCCACAAAATGAGTAAGGTCCTTCTGCTCAACACAGGGTCTCTCTGTAGTTCATGTGAACCATTCTACTCTGTAGCATCCTAACATACAAAGTAGAAACTTTGATCACATTAGATCAAGCAGGTGATTTTTGAGAGTAAAATTATATATAATATATATCATCATAAGTTTACATGAACTTATAGGTTAAATTTTCAACAAGGTGATATGGATGATGAAAGTTCTATCAGATGATCTGTTAGGGTAAAAGTTTAAAGCTTTTAGACGTTAGAAACCATTCAGTGTCAAGATAATCATTTTAAAGACAGATATTCCAGACATCATCCATTAATTCACCAATTAAAACCAATTTATATTTCAATATTTTAACATATTTTATGATGGTATGACATCTTTAATGGTGATCTTCCGTTTCTTATCACCGAGGAAATTTAAATACTGAGGTCTCGTTGCTAATCATTGTGTTCTAGGTGAGATAAATAAACCAAAATAGGTCATGAAGTCTGTCTCTATTGCAACATCTGAATGATTAGATGCTTTTTCCTTATCAGCCCTTCAAACCTGCGTTACTGACAAGGTGAAACCGGGTTGAAAAGCTGAAGGTATTACCAGGACCGAAATGAGATTTAACCCTAGCCAATCAGGTTAGCGTCAAAGCGCCTAATCAACGTGGAAACTGCAGCTCAAGAAACAGATTCACAATTCTTCGCTGCCCAAATTAAGATTTACACTCGCTTTGTAAGAATCTGATCTGAATCCATGGGGAAATCATTTCTTGTTTTGTAATTTATTGACAAGTGGAACTTCAAGATGTCTAATTTAAAAAAATCAAAAGGTCTTCAATTCCCCTGTTAAAGAATCATTGCCTCTGACAATTTCATGACAGAATTTGGTTACTTATTTCAGTGACATGGTTTCAAATAACAAATGACCCAAAACATTGAAGATATTTTTATTTAACCAATTTCATTAAGGACAGATTTAGATATTTTATTTCCTGTAAAGTGGAGTCACTTAGAGAAAGAACAAGCAATGAAGTGTTGGTTTAGCCATTAGATTGTGTAATTTGTCACTTTTGAACCAAATTTACAGATCACATTATTATTTCTCTTTCAGAAAGCTGTGAACAAGCTTTCAACAGCTGTTAAAACACTACAGACATAATGTAATCATTATCGATAGATATTGAAATACATATTTATGGTTTCCACATGTTACCGTGTTTTATATTAAAAACAAATCACAATAACTCTAACGATATTAAAATAATATGAATTATTCAATTTGATGCTATGTAATTTGTAAGCTCTGTCAATTTATTCCAGGATATTCATTGCTGTACATTAATTAAGAATACATTTAAAACTGCATTTGATTGGTTGACATGAAATGGTGTTTTACATCCTCATTTTCTGCACTTGATTTGACCATTGAAGAAGAGCAAAATTATGTAGTGGGCAATGATGGAAATTTTAGCCTACTTATTTTCAATTTCTTACAGTCAAGGTATCTTTAACGTGCAGGGTATAGGACCACTGTTTGATTGTCTCATTCAAAAATAATCTCTATCCATGTCAGTACAACCTGACCAGCAATACTCACCAAAAAATAGATTAAGTGTCTCATCAGGTGGCTGAATTTGATTCAAGAAAAGATCTTATAAAGTTTAAGATAAGTGAAGTAATCAATGAGAGTAAAGGAATGTTACATTAAGAACACAAGATATATAGATATATTACCACTGCTTCTGAATTTGCTAATTGATTAAATTAATTAACAAAAAAAAAAAACACAAAATACTTAGGTTAATCTTAGAAACCATAAAGGGGGGATTGCAGTCATCAAACCATTCTTTTAAAAATGTTAATCATTTTACTTCATAACATTACCTGTAAGTATTTCAAAACGTAATAAATTCAGAAGTAGTGTATCCATATATCTACAACAGCTACCAGAACACAAGGATATGTCGTTTAATACTATGTCGATGATCATGTGCCAATCATGCAATTGAAAAGGATTGGAAGATGATGTTCGGTTTTGCAGAGGATAAAAAAAAATCCTGTTGGCAAGGTGACAATCTTGTCATGGTAGTGCAGGCACACATGAGATTTTACTCAAGATTAGTGCTGGCATCAAATATCACTGACAAAGACTGTACGTTTAATTGCCAGCAGCATAACCTTCCTACTTCTATTGGCTTCAATGTCATATAAATGGTATATATGTAATAACTAAATCTGTATGTTAATCAATATTAATCAGTTAATACAGTATTCTACCTCACTGATTTCATTGTATTGTAGACTTTCACTTAATAATCATGAAATTGAATAGGTACAGACAGATCCTTCTCATTCTCATTGTTGCACACCTCAATTGTTCTGTTACATGTCAAAGGTCAAAGATATAAACTTAGTTATTCAAACTTAGAGGGGATAAATATAATAATATATAGCTAGAAACTTAATGAGCCAAACTATAATAGTTCTCATTATCAATAAACAATGTGATATATTGGCAATGAAATAACATCTAAAATGGCTGCTCTTACAGAAGAATAATTAAGTTAACATTCTCGGCTGAACTTCTAAAATCATTTAAAGCTTGGACTTAACGAAATAAATGATTCATCCACATTAATAATAACATTCCCCGCTTATGCAAAGGGCAGACAAGCCCATTTTTTGTCTAACCACATCAATAAAAATACTAATTTTTGAGAGCGTAAGCCACTTGGTTGAATTTATCCATCCATCATATGATCAGAACACATTGGCGGAGTCAGTCATAGTAAATAATTGGCTGAAAATATCAAATATTTCTAGAGGGTGATTTTAACGACCACACAAAATCCCCATCTATTTGAATAGGCACATTACATATTGTCCGGTTCAAACAGATATTATTGGAGCAAGATACTACTGTATCCATTAACTTTGGGGTTGTATCTTGGTTCATTGTTTCCATCCAATTTTTTGTATTGTTCAACTGCTATCTATCTGGATGGGTGCCTTTAAATAGCTTGTACAGGATAAAAATCAAGGCTAATTTCATGCTCACAGAATTTCAATGATGTGATGGCAATGTTCCATCTTTCTATCTGGTTGATGGAATTGATTAAATTCTTGATAGAAGGTAAATAAAGTATAAGAATAAATAATTCACTATATTAACTTAATAACAAGTGTTTACATTTGTACTTTACTTGCTAAATGAAATGATATTTCATGTTAATTTAAGTAATACTGCTGCAACACTATTTGTTCAGTAGAACAAGTCTACATGATAATTGGGCCTCTTTAAGTAGATTTTTATTTGCTAACTGGAAAGAAATGTAAGGACAAAAACTAAAAGCCAATGAATGATATCCTGCAAGGTACTTGACACTATCCAACAACACATGGTAAAATATCAAAGTAGCTGTGTAGGTTGGTTTAAAATAAAACCAGGAAGTGCCAGATAATCTGTTCTTTCATTGAACACAAATCTGCTCTGTTTTCTCTTGACAAAATGAAATCATTTTAGAAATTCTCAGATGAACATTTGTACAATGCATTTGTTAGAATTTTGAAAAATGAAATGAGTAGAGTTTTACATCCAATTTTCTGCACTTTGGTAGGAAAATGAAGACGGAATAATATCTCACTTATTTTTTACATAACAGTTTCAAGGTGCATTTGATTCAGTTTTTCAGATATGTGGGAGAGGTCATGTCTCTTGAGGGGAACTGATTTTAAACATTTCAAATTGTTCTCCATTCTGACACAAAGTCTCTCTGATCCTTGTAGGTATAGACAAGAAATTTTAGAAAAGCATCAGATTACCTCCCTTGAGAGGATAAGTTTCAGACCACTACTATTTCTCCATTTTGACGCAAAGCATGTTATATAAATTTTGCCTAAGTTATTGCTGTATTTGTTACCTTGGAAATATAGAAATACGACTTTCAAAATGGTAACTTCAAAATTGTGCTCGGAAGTCGTGTTTTCTGACACAAATAGCTAAAATAGGTTCAGACCACAATTATTTCTCTATCATCATGAAAACCGTCTCCGTTTCATGTTAAGTATGGTCAAGAAAGCATGAGTGAAGCTTGTGTAACATGTCCCTTAGGACGAAATAGATCACTACAATTTTTCCATCTTCACGTTAACTGTGTCTGTTTCATGTTAGTAGTCACAAGAAAACGTGGCTGAGGCTTGGGTTAAGTCCTTTGAACAGAACAGACCAAAATCTATTGATCCATCTGCATAAAAGGTGTGTCTGACCCATGTATATTCTGACAAGAATAGAGTATGAAGAGAGGTTTAGCCTAAGACCATTACTAGTACCGAATGTAGATCTCAAAGCTTAACAGACCCAAGTTCAATGAAACATTGTTATTACAGGAAGTTAGTAACTGGTTTTACAAAATAGAAGGTAGTGTACATAAATAGGTTTGTGTTGTTTTATTGTCAATGCCATTTAACCATTTCAAAGCCCACTCTTACAGCTGGTCACATAAAAATATTTAATCAAGGTTTGTCTTTCACTAGTTCCAAAATATATTGTTATTCGTTTGTGAAAAGTTTCACTTCTTGCAGGCTTGGCTGGTTATTTGTGATGAACATAGTCTAGATTCTTTATTAACAATTTGTAATATTTAAATCTCTAGAGATCTATAAGATCTAAATATTTTTTTAAATGTCTACAAGATACATGCTTCATTGAACTTCAGATTGTACTGTTGAGTGATTTATGCAAACTTCAAGTATAGATTTCAGCACATTTTTCTTTTTCCAACTGTGAACAGTGTCTAAAACAATCATGTAAATTAAAAAGTTATAACTCACTTTCTCAAAAATTTGTTCTGATTTTTTGGAAGAACAGTTAAGTGATGAATTAATAAACTTAAAATAAAAATGAAACTTGTTTACTGACCAGAACACTGAAATAATGTGAAATAATCTTGGTTTAAGAAACGGACCTCAGGGTAGCTGATTTGAGTTTATAACCAGAAGTTTCCCATTGAACCAAAAAAATGAACTATTATTAATAGCTTCAGCTGAAGAATTTCTTGGAATAGGACTAAGCCACAAAAGTCTGCTTTTACAGTATTTTTTCATTATTGTTCCACAAATCTGAAAAAAACTTCTCAGCTCCTGACAAGAAGTCAAAACATCTGAGGTTGAAGTTTGACCTATAGGTGAGGATAAGTAATAACAGTTGTGTCAATGATATATTGAATATGAACCTGTCCTGAAGTAGTATACTGGTACTATAATTATTGAATATGAACCTGTCCTGAAGTAGTATACTGGTACTATAATTATTGAATATGAACCTGTCCTGAAGTAGTATACTGGTACTATAATTATTGAATATGAACCTGTCCTGAAGTAGTATACTGGTACCATAATTATTGAATATGAACCTGTCCTGAAGTAGTATACTGGTACTATAATTATTGAATATGAACCTGTCCTGAAGTAGTATACTGGTACCATAATTATTGAATATGAACCTGTCCTGAAGTAGTATACTGGTACCATAATTATTGAATATGAACCTGTCCTGAAGTAGTATACTGGTACTATAATTATTGAATATGAACCTGTCCTGAAGTAGTATACTGGTACCATAATTATTGAATATGAACCTGTCCTGAAGTAGTATACTGGTACCATAATTATTGAATATGAACCTGTCCTGAAGTAGTATACTGGTACCATAATTATTGAATATGAACCTGTCCTGAAGTAGTATACTGGTACCATAATTATTGAATATGAACCTGTCCTGAAGTAGTATACTGGTACCATAATTATTGAATATGAACCTGTCCTGAAGTATTACTGGTACTATAATTACATTAGTTAGTATTAGGTACTTACCATTTTCCGATGAACACCAATAACAAAACCATCAAATAATTCGGTTGATTTGCTCATGCTATCAACAATATTACTGACATTACTGGGACTGCGTGAATGACATGGGGAGCCTAATAAATTACTCGTACTTCCATTAGTAGTTGCTGCTTCTATGTTGGGAACTTGACCATTTGGTACGCTGCCATTTGCAGTTGTTAATCGTTCTGTAAACAAAGATTTTACATTAATAAATTGATATGATCGAAGAAATCTTTATATATAAGAGAACAAAATAATTTAGAAATTATCAACCTGAATACAAGTGAAAATGGATATAACAACCACATTATATGTCATTATCATGGAAAGAAAATCTGCACAGACCACCAACCTTCAGCCACTTATTCACTGTGCTTGGTCACACTACACAATATCTATGAACTTAATTGATATTTTTCTCTTAAAGTGACAGGTTTGCCATCTCTTTGACCATTTGACCCTTATTCTCAGAAACTAAAATTTTTTAGTTAAGCTAATCAAAAACCGTGTTTAGAAAATTAAAAAGATGACTCAACATTTCTTGCTATAAAGAGAAAAGATGTCATATGTCCATTGTTTTTTTTATATTACAAGTTTGATATGGTACTGTACATATATCTAGTCCTTTCGGTGGGATAATATTTTGATCATTACACACTGCATGGCAATTGCCCATCCTCAGAAGCCTAAACAGGCGCAAAAAAGTATAATATTAAACTCCTTCCATTTCATTTCATATTGTTAATGTATTATGATGTTGCTTTAATACCAGTTATACACGCTGGTGTTTATTTAAGGGATGAATGTGGAACTTGTTATCCTTATGGGGAAATAAAAGCTATGACAATATGGCATATGAATACATCTCAAAGCAAAACAGTGGCAAATTCAAAACACCATAATCATATAAAACAGTGATAATTGTATTAATAAAAACCTGAATATAAATATAAGAATTAAACGTTGGTCTCAATAGCATTATTGGTGTGTAAACGCAATTGATCAAACCACATACTTCATCATTTATTCCGTTTGACACATGATCAATTGTCTTCACACTTCAATAATGCCATTGAGACCACAATTAATTCTTAAATATCAAATACTTTCAACTCAACCCTAACTGACTATGCCTAAGCGTCTGCTGTTGACAAGTTTTTCAGATACCAAGTGCTAAGCCAGTACAATATTTACCTGTTTATTGATTTTGTTACTTAATAAATCATGGTCTAAGAATTACAAAAAAAAAAATTAATCTAGGATTAAAATTAATAATTTTTTTGTTTTCAAGGTAAAAAGATTAATTCCTAGCAGGTAAACACAATCACTGGATTCTTCAAATTGTTGTCTACTGTTTCATAGAAATCTGTTGAACAAGAATAAGTTCATCTTCACAATGTCAAGCTATTAACATCTTCACAATGTCAAGCTATTAACATCTTCACAATGTCAAGCTATTAACATCTTCACAATGTCAAGATATTACATCTTCACAATGTCAAGCTATTACATCTTCACAATGTCAAGCTATTACATCTTCACAATGTCAAGCTATTACATCTTCACAATGTCAAGTTATTACATCTTCACAATGTCAAGTTATTACATCTTCACAATGTCAAGCTATTACATCTTCACAATGTCAAGTTATTACATCTTCACAATGTCAAGCTATTACATCTTTACATTCTGACACATTTTGGGGAAAAAACGTAAAATATTTTCATTTGTCTAAAATAAAATGGGGGTACAATTGGGACTGCAGACCATTTTTCTACAAGGGGGGGACTGTCAACATTTAAGTTGCCCTGCCAGTCATGTCCGGTAAATAGAGCTGAATCAACAGCTGTGGTTTCAACACAGAAAGCCAATGGAAACATCCAACTCTATCCACAGGTATATAATTATTAAGTATCATTTTACACATGCTGTTATTTCTGCAGGTTAATATAATTATAACCATGTATATAATATCAAGTTTAATTAATAACCAAGTTCATTGACATTTTAATATTGATATAACAAGACTCCTGTGGAGTTTCTCTACTTCCATCTACATCCTGTTAGAACACATATCAACACATGTTCTTGATGAAGGACAAGATAAGGTTGTTTTCGTAACTGATCCAAAATTTGAATCCTGATTTCTTCAGAGAGTTGACAGATTAGCAGATATATTAATGAAGAATGTGGTGTTGATGTGATGTGTTAGGCATGAAGTGAAACTAACAAAACCAACGGATCATGGGGGATTCGTTTCATAATTCGGTCAATAATTTCATTTAGATAAACAGAATTCAAACTTAGACATGGAAACCATTTTTTCTCAATTCTCTTCCTTGTTTACATCATCCATTTTCATCCATTTTGTGTGAAGGTTAATGTGGATTGATTGATATGGTATAGAATGAAAAATGATATCTGCGCTGCATCCAGCTGTATGGTTTTATGAAATGGGTCCTTTGTCCTATATTTTCTCCACCTGATGGCTAATGCATTGGCATTTTGTATGTAATTAGGTATATTGCAAGTATTAGCCTACTCGTTTATTATCACATTTGAACAACTACACACTTTTTCCATGTCAGCACCTCCGACCTGCATCACTCACAAGGGGAAAGCAGGTTGAAAGGCCGAAGGTATAATCTCAACATATGACAGGATTGGACCAGGACATTCAGTTTAGAGTGCGACAGTTGGACTCACAGAGCCACCATAACTCCCTTTACGGTTTATACAACTTTTTTCAGAAAATGAAATCATATTATATCTGCGCCATTTCATGAGTCACAGGAAAATTGTGTAATAAATCAGGTGAAGGCCATTTATTATCTTCTACATCATAGTTCTATACCTACTTAAATCTCTATTTCTATTATATCATATTAAAGATATCAAAATCAGATTTATTTCCTATTACCCACAATGCAATATACATCAAAACTAACTTATTGTAATAGAAATATGTCTTAAGGCTTTAAATTACAACATTTGGACATATTTAACCTTTATTCCATCATGACCTACAAATCAAAGGTCATGGTTCAACAATTTTGAAGGTTGTTTGGGCCTTGGATATATGTACAGAGTTTTCAGAAGTACCAGAACTATACAAGAATTGCATTATTCTTTCCACTACCCCTCAAGCTGTGAATTGTTCGTCTTGTTGATAAGGTCTACAATAGGTGTATGCTGTACTGATAATTCTTTATTATCAAGGCCGCTCTACATTATGTGAAGTTATGAAAAAAAGTCGTCAATGTAATTTTCAAACAAGAATAATAATGGATACAAAAGGCTAATAGTAAAATTTTGACAGCTAGCTGTGAAAACTATTACTGATTAGCTTAGCTGAACAATTCAGGTCTCCGAGACCAAGGTACGATTGACATCGAAAATGGTGTATCATGGTCTCTGACAGCCTCGTTCTACTGCCCCACCAGTACTTTACCGCTAACTCGCAGGATAGTTAGAGGCTTTATATCAATTATTCTGACTGTTAAATGCTAATGAAGTTGTCTGATGAATGGTTTATCTTATATGTACATCGTGATAACACGATTTTACCACTATTGACATTTACTCATTAATACCCTACTCACTTTTAAGTCTGGTCTGAACTGATGTACTGGAAGAGATTTACCAGACTCATTGTGTTAACTATATTGATATGTAAAGTTTCAGTCTGGTTATACAGATGTTACAAGTGTGACAAGCATTTGTTGACATTCAACTTAAAGAGTACTGGAATTGAATGAGTGTTGGCTGTCTGTACCCAGGAAGAGATATCAGAACCTTCATCATTATCCTGTTTTATTGACATTTCTTCTTGATATTGGTACCAGTATTAGACAAAGATCACAGTATATTCTAGCTAAAATACAATCTTCATTTCCAAAGGTAAAACATCTCCACTAAACAGTCTTAGTGTTAAGAGAAGCAAGAACAATCTATACATAAAGCTAACATAAAATGACAAAACTAAGAGACCTTTATAGAACTATATACTTCTGATAACTGACATCAAATGCAATGGAAGGTATGATCACACTAAATCTTGTTTTATTTATGATGGTTTCCGCTCAATCAGTTTAAAGATTTGATATATGGTTTCATCATTTCATGTCAGCTCAATACACTACAGTTGTTTATAAGAGATGTTTTACCTTCGGAGATGAAGATAGTAGTTTAGCTAGTACCTACAGTGTACATAATCTAATACTAGTAACAATATCAAGAAGAAATGTCAATCAAACTGGATAATAAATTTAATGTTTAGTTCTACTGAGTCAAGGCAAGCCAACTCTTTTAACTTTGAGGATTTCACTGCTTTCCAAACTCAACTTTCAAATTAACCAACACTATAATATACATGATTTATAGAAAGTCAGGAAAGGAAAGCATGAAATGTATTAAATAATCATGTTTGCAATGGATTCTGAACAGATCAGAGGAAAAATACCCAGCAGTTCCAGATTCCCCCCGTTTTTTTCTTAGTCTTTGTGTGAAAGCTTATCTGATTAAGCCAGTGGTATTCTTCTTCAACATAAAAGTACAGTAGTGATAAAATTGACACTGAATTTCTATAGAATAATAAATATTCAAATTCGGTATCAAGAGACATACTGATATCTCTTATGATTCCAATCATCACCATATAACTTGACAGTTTTTGACAGTTTTAAACAGTTTTAACCAACTATGAAATTAACTGAACTGTTAATTTATGATTCGCTTTAATTTGAAAACATTTTTTCTTACAGCAATGCAGTTGTTTAAAGATTTGCTTTATCACCTGATAGAGCTTATCACATATTTGTAGTACTTTTATCAAAACCCAACATTCTGTACCTAAAATGAACCACAATTTGATACATCAAATCTACATCCAAAGGATTTTCTTGAAGCTCAGGGTTCTAAGTGTTATTATTACATATAAAATGCAGCAGGAATTATATGAATTTTTGTTTGAAATAAAACTAGGTGAGTCATAAAAAAATGTAAGGTATATTCTCAAAAGAGGAGTTGGGTGCTTAAAATATCAAGAAATCTTTACAATACTTAATTAAAATATTGAACGGAAGCAGAGAAACTCTACAAATATGAAAATGGTTTTCTAATTGATACATTTATTTCAATATATTATCTAGAAATAGCATAATAAACCCATTATATACATGTTTATATAGGGTTTCTTAAAACAATTAGGAAGTCCTGAATCATTGATCAATATATATACTGATTTCCATTAACTCAAATCTGCACTTAATGATAATTTAAACCTTGGAAAACATGAATAGTTCAGGGATATAGTCACCCAATTATTCTCTTTGTCATCTATGAAGAAACTAATGTCACCTGTGTCACTTTTCAAAATGGAAATCTCACATCTGGTTAGTCACTATTCAGCAGAAGTACTCAAGTTATATATTCTAGACCTTCAATAATCATTCATGTATGCAGAAAAAGGTATTAGATGTTGTTTGAGATAATCTCTAATGAAATAATATAATAATGTATAAGAATAGTACTGTACAAAACATTGATTTCATCATTATTTACAAATTCAAACATCCATGGTGAGCTTTGAACATTATTACTGTTAATTTAGCTAAAAAAATTCATTTCTGAGACTAATGTACGATTGATCAAACTGATGACAAACCTGTCCCTTTAAAGGAGCAGTATGCAAAACTTTCCTTATCATAAATTTAGTAAATCATGTAGAAAAAAGTCCAAAATATGCTAGTTAGCTTTTTCTGATCAACCTAAATTTTTCATGTGTGCTAATTGCTTTGTAAGAAGTTTAAACTGTATAGTTTTTTTGGCTTTTCAACAGCTATATATTTTTAGTTGAATTCTTCAAATCAGCATGCAGGAAACGTATTTCTCTACAAATTAGTGTTAATTTCGCTTAAATCCATTAGATTTCCAACATCAACTAAAAACATTCAATAGGGTTCATCCTTTGGTGAAAGTAACACATTTCACCAAGTTTCATCTAAATTTGTGAAGAATTGTGTCTTTTAGAGTGTTTACAAGCATTTTCAAGAAGAAGGGCAATAACTCATTCTAAATATATTTCAATTTTTTTTAAAATTCCAATAGTGTTTATGATTGGTGATCTAAACACATACCAAGTACAAAGTTTCGTCAAAGACTCTTAAGAATTTCACCTTCTAGAGTGTTTACAAGCAATTTGATCAACAAAGGATAGACAGACATGGGTGGTGCCAATATACGTCCACATTTTCTGTGGGAGTATAAAAATTAGACATCCCCTGTTAATTAAGTTTTATCATTGATGAATGTCTTGTCATTTATCAACATTTGTCTCCATCACACCTTGGTGGCTTGCCTTGAGTTTTCCATTAACAGAAGACATAATACACATGTCTTCTACATTTCCTGTCCAGTGGGAATTGGAGATGTACTGCTGAGATATAAATTATACATATAAACAGTAATCCAGTACAATATTTCTTTTTGTTTTGGGTCACAGACAGTCTTAATGTTTAATATCTATCAATGTCAGGATTTAATCCTAATCTCTAATCTTATCCTAATTAATAACATTACAGTAGATCCCATAATTTCAGTATTATTCTATCAGAAATAAAACTTAGTGTTTAGCAAGATACTAGCCAAAAATAATAAATTATCATTAGTCAAGGGTATGACAGGCATGGATGTAGGGTAAAGGGAAGATTTTCTCATTCAAAGATGCTTTCGGAGCCCAAGTCTTTTTATCCCTCAAACCAAACTAAAAGTTTTTTATTCAAAATCTAAAAAAATACCACCTGCCAGAAAAATAAAGTCTCTAGTCTTAAAGTCAGGGAAGCCTGTATATATATCTTACTATTATTGTATCAATAAAGTCGTACTTGGTCTGGATAGTTTTGTTAATTCTTGGATCCATTTGTTACATTCTGGTAACTGACCTAGCAAACACTTAATTTGTTTATATCATTGCAGAAAGATTTACTTTAATACCAATACAAACAGACATATTGAATCTTTCTCAGCTGGAATTTTTCAATGTAATCTAATTTTATTCCTGGATGAACACCTTTACAAAATGAAATTTTTAATTGCTTGAGATTCTACATTGGATAAAAACTATTAAATTTTTAATTTTTACAGTGTGTTATTACAGTTCCCAGCTGTATACAAATCTTCTTCATCAATTCCAATAAAATAAAACCAAAAAAACATCAGCCTATAATATTGCTAATTTAGTTCAATATACTTTGAATATTTTAAGATTGTTTTTCAAATACGCCTACATAACAAGTAAAATATAGCTAATTTATTTTTAGTCGTCTGCTCATCTTATGATGTCATTTGCTTTGTGATATTGGTAAAGTTTGTGGGTTCTAATCAGCATTGGGAAGTATGGATGTAGTCATTTTCATCCCTCTGTAACACTACATGCAACTTTGCAACCGACTGACTTTTTCCTTTGGACATTCTCTCTAAGAGTCTGTATAACTACTGTCTAACAACATTGTTTACAGAATCTCATTTACCTAATATTGTTAGTATGGATTGAAATATCAACTCAAATTGTCTTAGGGTTGATGGAAAAAGATTTTACAGAATTTTGAGTCTTAAATGTGAGTTATTTGCAAATTTTGAAAAAAATGAAATGAAATGAATGGAGTTTTACATCCTCCTTTTCTCCACCATGTGGGCTAATGAAGCGGCATTAGCCTGCTCTTTTTCAATTTATAACTGTCGAGGGATCTATAATTTATTGTCCCATCCGAACGACTAAACGCTTTTTCCATGTCAGCCCCTCTTACCTGCATCACTGAAAGGGGGGAACTGGGTTGAAAAATCCGAAGGTGTTGCAAATTTTGAAGTGAGTTTATTTCAAATGTAAATCTATCAGATTTCATAGTGCTCTCAGAGAAATGCTTCACATGTCTTTTTAACATTTATTACACTGACTTTTGTCAATCAATATCCAAGAATAAAGTCGGTTCAGTTATTTCTGTTAAATTACATGTGACATTTTAAAGTTTTTGGTCTATTTACACACTATAAGAGTATAATTTGCTTGATAATAGTTGGACAGATTGACTCCATTTGATAATTTGGTGCCATTATTTCAACACAAGATATATTATCACATCACAAATAAACTAAGCCAATAACTGATTTCAACATATCACTATATTTAATGACAGTCATTGTTTGTCAGTACTATATTTGAATTGTCATGTAACCACATGATTTTGATCACTGGGTAATTTTTTTGAACACAGTAAATTAAAACAAAACTGATGGATTGGTTAACAGATAGTTAAAGTAAACCAATAAATGTATCAGGTGAGAGTCAAAATTATATCCCAATGGAACTAAAACTATGGATTATATCTGTGTCAGAATGTTACAATCATGTGACAAGCCAGTGATACTCGCCCCAGAGGACACAAACAATGATTTCACCCCAACAACTATGACGTATGGCAGCTAACCGAATGCCTATCGAAAATGAGATCCATCACAGAAGGAATGGATTAGGCACACCGCAAAGAAGTCACACTGTGGCATAACTAGACAGGTGCTTTCATGGAACACCTAGGGAAAACAGGAGAGAGGACAGCTAAGAAACACCTGACGATGGGACAGGCAGGGTCAGGTAGCAAGAAGATAGTGACCTATGTTTCAAAATCCTGTCGGCAACGCAATAATCTTGTCATAAAAGAGATTTTACTGAAGATTCGCATCATTGCATAAAATAATTTAAACTATTCTTCAAAATCCCAGAATCATATTATATTATCTTAGTAGTTCAATTGTTTGACTCTAGTTAATAAACTCCTTTTTTTGGTAAATTATATATTTCCAGTTTGTTTTATTTGAATTGGTATATCAACTACTAAATAGTTATTAAAGTCTATCAGGAGCTTGAATCAGTAAAGAAGGTTATACACAGGGACAGCAGTGCGTGCCTATAATTTTTGATTTATTAACTGTGAAGCAATTTTCAATGTCAAAAATATGCAGCAGGCTAGGTGTTAATATTTTGTTACAACCAACTTTCATTCCAAATGAAATAAAATGGAGTTGTAAGCCTACATCTCATTTATTCTCTAATGCCAACATTTGAAATAGCAATCCACAACTTTAAATGATAATAAAGTACCAACTTACTGGCAGTTATTCCTCTTTGTATTTCACTTAAACCAATACTTTCTTTCATCTGACCTCCATTTCTCTCTTCTTCCTCTGTTATAGACTGTATCTCAGGAGGAGCGGGCAACTCATATGCATATAAATTACCTCCTAAACATGATCTCATTTTTTGATTATCTTGTGGTAACGTCTGAAAATATAAAAATATCAAATTTATTTCACAGATAAATTGCAACTGCTGGAAAATTTCAATATTATTTGTGTCAAAAATCGTGCCAAGTGACTTCAAAATCTATGAAAAATAACAAACTTATTGATGGTATTTTCTATACCAGTACATGTAAATGTCAAAAGTCTTATCTTGCGGGCAAGTTCCCCTAAATTCTAATGCAGACTGCAAAAATGGGATTTGCATGCTATTAATACAGTCAGCTTTTGTGGAAGTCACTCCTAGCATTTTGGAAGAATTGTTGTCTAATAATATTATATATTATGTGCCATCATGTTTGAGTATTAGGTGTAATATTATTTGTTTTGTTTATGTATGTTGTTGTACTATGATATTGTTAATGAATTTTTGTTATTAATTTGAGGATTTTAATTATGTTAGGTCATTCTTTTGGTTTTACTGTTTTCTATATTTTATAAAAAGTAATAGTCATTCAACTTGATCTGTGATCTCTGTCAAATAAAGTTAATATTAAAAGAATACAGTCCATTGCATCAGGAACCAGTTGATCTTGTCAAAAATACAAGAAGTAACAGAGATAAAACAACTAGTAGTTGGGTCAATTTCATATTTTTACAACAGAAAAGGGTACTTCTGTCGAGGCTTAGTTTTCTGTAATGATATATCTGAGAGGTTAGAGACGGAGAAAAAGTCAATTTCAAAATATGAAAGAAAGACTCTAGGCTAATATCATTCTTATCTGTATACTGAAGACCCAGACGAAAGAGGTTGCTGTAAATTGTTTCACAATAGTTTTATATCAATTCTGTGAAATCAACCAAGAAATTTAATCTGGAACACATTATACGATGATTTTTTGGGAAATAAAAACGAGCCAGACAGAAAGGTGACCAAAATTGACCCAATCATTCTGACATTAAGAATCAAAGGAGGAAATTTCAGGATTCACAGACAATAAATAATGACACAGATAAAACTAGACATTATAGAAAGTATCAGATTGTAAACTTATAATTCAATAACTGGTACTTATTGCCTCCTGAAAACTCAACTATCAAATTTCTTTTGTCAAGCGACTATAAAATAATATTTCATTATAATTAACACACACTCTACAACCTTTACCACTTTTTCTAACCTTTTCATTTAAAAAATAGATGGCTTTCCAGGCAAGTAATGATACTGCCACTGGCAACTGAAAAACCATTTCCCAGATTTTTGAAAAATATAAACTTTAGACTGATATCCATTGTGTCTACAAAAATTGTTGCTTGACTGACAGACTGACATAGGCGAAGGCCATATACGCCAACAATTCCAAGTGGGGGTATATAAAAACTGTAAATAGCTGGAACAGGTGATTTAACCCTTAAAAACAGATACTGATAAGTACCTTGCCACCGTTTCCTCAAATACCACCTAGTCTTTCCTGTGTAACCTAGATGATTGCTGTCTTGAGAAACATCTGTTTAAAGACCTCAATAATTATATGTCCAGGTGGACTTTCTAAAAATATCTTAATGCCCGTAGTTTAAACACTTCTACCAGCATAATAATTGATTACTGTCAAGATACTAGATTGAGGATGAAATTGAACTAAATTTCATTATAAAGTGCAAATGACAGACACAAAGTCGCTTAGTTTATTAATAGTATATAAATGTATTTAGGTGCAACTTGAAATACTAAAAAAAGAAACTTCTAGATGTTTGGCCACTGTCAACTTCACCTAGTCAAACCACTTTGCTGACAAAATCCCTCCACATTCATGCAGTTGCCTATGAAAAGCTCCAGATGAGTATATTAAACTCTATTTTATTTCATTTCATTGATTACTTTATTTAAGTAAATGAGGAATTCTGTCATCAAAGAAAATCACACCAAATAGAAGTTTTATTTGTGTGATAGTGAATGAAACACAGAGAAGCTTAATCTCTGAAACCCAGACTATATAAAGCTTGATTAAACACATTTTCTATTGCCTTTAAATAAGTCTAGAGCCTGACCTTTCAAATACCAGAGACAATTCAATAAAATTAGTTATACAACATTACCTACTCTCTGGGAAAAAATGGAAGCCCCTAAACTGGTTTACACCACAAAAAACACTGACTTACAAAAAAAGAAATTGAACCATCAATCATCATAAGGTTTAAATACCTCTTTTCTGATAGCCCAGACCTTTCTTCGGTTGGTTGAGAGCTGATATAGCACAGTCAATTGGCTGTTACATTTGCTTAGTTATGTGTAAAAGGGGTGAAAGTTCATCTTTTCTCATAATTCCACCCAGATGTAAACGGAAACAGAAAGATCACTGCTATGAAGTTTGGCCAAGGAAAAGTGGGCAGTAAGAATTCTTAATTGTGAACCCAAGTTGTTAACCTTATACAACACAGTTTCTTTCTGGCCCAGTCCAGTCTCTCATCTCATGGTTCAAACCAAAATGGTTTCTTCAGTCAATTTCACAAAAACAATCATTTTTACAGATTGACCAAACATATGATAAAAATTTGTGTGAATAAAGACCCACAGTAGATGTCTGAACTGATGACCCCGATAATATTGCCAGCTTAGTATGGAGATTTGAATGCTACTGGCTTACATTAGGCCAGAAGTCAAGTCGCGTGCACATTCCTCTAAACAAATTCCTGCCATTGTTATTACTGTCATAATGCGCATGCACATGAACCTTTGGATATCAACTAGGTAATATCAAAGCTTGCTTAACTCTCCTTTCCATCTGAACGCTGATAAAAAAAAACCCCAGTAAACCAGACTTGACGTAGTGAAATCCGGACTGAAATGACACAGTGTGAAGAAAATGGAAAAAAATAATGCAGGTCAAAGAGTAGATTTTCATCATAAATTGAATTTGACAAGATTAATGGAGAAATGGAATTTTTCAATTATGTCATATTACTGTATCAGAAATAGAGAGGATATAATCTCTAATAGATAATTGGATTTCTCATTACATAAATCTCTTCATTTCTATTCTATTTCCATCTAAAGAGAATGGAATATGTTTAGAGACAGTAGATAAATGGAAGACTGTCCTGGTCTCTGTTTTAATGTGATTTCATCTCATCTACCAGACACATTTCAATTACAACCATGGGATTGCACTAAAATCTGTAGATAACGTGATTTTAAGTCCCAGACCACAACTTATTTGTAACTCGTTTAAGCTGATATTTATTCCCCCCAGAGCTTAGATCACTTTTATCAATTGAATTTATTGTTTTATTACCTCACCTGCAGTCTGAGAACTCTAAATTACTCCAACATCTAAATCTGTAACATATTAAATAGTAATCATATTATATTATTCTAACATAATTCAGTCCTTGGTCAAACTTCAGTCTAACAGTCGATTCCTGATTATCCAGACTTATAGTTTACAGCTGGTTGATGAATAATGCTGACCTGAGGACATATTTTCCCTGAAGTTATCAGACATATGTCATAAACTTAAATACCATTGAGAAATGGAATGAAGTCTTACATTTATGCAATGAGGCCAAAAGCATACATATGAGCCTACTTTTTTTCAATTACAAACCAGTGAGGGCCTGAACACACTGGCAATTTGATCAATGTTTCTTTAATGATTTTGTATCAAAGAATACTAGAAATTATTCTTAATGACACAAATAGCCTACATACAGTTGTGGTTTCAGTGGGGGTACAAAGGGGGCATTTGCCCTGCCTAGAAAAATATTTTGTGACCCCAATGGCACCCCCATTTTAAACCTAACAAAATTAAAACATTATTTTTCGCCCCAAAAAATGTGTCCAGAATTTCCTTAGGGACTCTCTTAGGATGCTGCTTAATTGGCTTGAATCTGCCTCATTTTGAATCTCAATCCTTGAGAATTGTCAAGTGCTAGTGCCGTCACTACATACATAGAAAATTTTATGGCAGAAGCACCACCACCCACCCACTGAGGGATCAGTACAGTTCAGTCTGTAGCAATCTACCTTGCTTAATACCATCTGAATAATGGCAGAAATGAAATAAAGAAGATTGATGTTTATCAAGACTATGTTATTAACAAACTACTTTGTATCAAAGAAACTACAGATAAATCTGGATGATATGTAACATATCATTTTACACAAAACAACAAGATAATATTTTACTAGAGGTAATTTACAGCTTTTCTTTTCTTCACCAGAACATATAGTGCCATGCTTATAGGAATATTTTAATGTTACTTTCAGTTTTGTAGATGTCTTTTCTCTCTCAGTTTGAAAGTTCATCATTTATCAAAGGCATTAAATTGAACATATCATAGCCAATGGATATCTAATTGGTTTGAAGTAAACTTGCTGCAGAGTAAATTTTCTCTGATCATCAATTTCAACATGCAATGCAGTCATTAAAATAAGTAAGATTGTAGCGATCTGTACAGTAACACTCAAAATTCATGATTGATTCGCCACCACTGTTACTAGTTCTGAATCCTAATTTCAAACCTACATATTTCTATATTCAAAGATGAAGAATGTAAACATTTGTTTATTTAACATTCTACAGAAGACTGGACAAGACTTTCAAACAATCATCTGGTCAGTCTGCATCAGAAATGGCAGTCCCGGTAGGATTACAGGGGAAAAGACATTTGCACCTCCTGAAATGTACATTTTACTTATTGTTACCCCCACTACAATTCTGAGAAATTTCAAAATAAGATTTTTTTATATCTCAGAATGCATCAATATTAATTCTATTTTTCTAGGAGATAGTCCTATCAGACAAACTTGGCTATTTCTCAGCACTTTCACAGTTGGAATCCAAGAGTTGTCACCCCATTACATCAGTCAGCCCACTATTTGTTCCAGTAGGCTTGTGTCATCTCATCACTACTGATCAGTGCTTTTGTTAGGCAGGTGTTGATAAAATGTTTAATCAGGTTCGCGTGATTTGTACATTCCTGATTCCTGGACATCATGAATTAATGTTAACCTTGTCCATTCAATGACTTCACTAAAACAATAAAGCCATTAAAATAATGGATATCTATAGGATCTTAGTAGAATGTTGGTCATTAATATCTATTTCTTACTGTCTAATGTCTCATGGTAATAATCTTAGTTCATGGTTATCTTAATGAAAACAACAATACAGCTTACAAATCAGGCTTTTATTTGTTTAACCATGACAGGTGACTTGTGTTCTTGTTTAAACATAAAGAAATCTATTACCAGTTGAGGATACAATACCAAACATATCAACATTCAGAGTATCAAACACAATACCAAACATATCAACATTCAGAGTATCAAACACAATACGAAACATATCATCATTCAGAGTATCAAACACAATACAAAACATATCAGCATTCAGAGTATCAAACACAATACGAAACATATTAGCATTCAGAGTATCAAACACAATACGAAACATATCAACATTCAGAGTATCAAACACAATACGAAACATATCAACATTCAGAGTATCAAACACAATACGAAACATATCAGCATTCAGAGTATCAAACACAATACGAAACATATCAACATTCAGAGTATCAAACACAATACGAAACATATCAACATTCAGAGTATCAAACACAATACGAAACATATCAACATTCAGAGTATCAAAAACAATACGAAACATATCAACATTCAGAGTATCAAACCCAATACGAAACATACCAACATTCAGAGTATCAAACACAATACGAAACATATCAACATTCAGAGTATCAAACACAATACGAAACATATCAACATTCAGAGTATCAAACACAATACCAAACATATCAGCATTCAGAGTATCAAACACAATACCAAACATATCAGCATTCAGAGTATCAAACAGTAAAAGAACTTAATATATCAAAAACAAGTTTGAGAACAGATTATCAAACACACATTTAGGACATATCAAACAAATGTTTGAGAACATAAAATATTTAAAAACACAGGTTTGAGGACATTACAGACAAAGATATAAAAATCTATCGGGCAACATCCAAAGAACATATCCAACAAAATTATTTGAAACCGTTCTAAGGAAATATAACCAAAAAAAAATGTTTATCATGTCAAAGAAAAGTTTTTAAACAAATTAATTGGCATTTTGAGAAAAAAAGTAACAGCTTGAAGCATGTTTTAATGAAGAGTTTTAGAACATATTATTTTCACTTCAATAACTTGACTTCCAGTTTGATTTTGCATTATGTCTTGTATTAATTTTTTCTTAAAGGAACAGATGCCCCATTTTGGGGGTTGATTTGAGTCTTGAATATATGTAAATAGTCTTCATAAGTACTGTAAATGTACGAAATTGCATAATTCCTTCAAAATTATCTCAAACTAGGAATTTTTTTCCTATTTCTATAGATGTCTTTTCTGTTATGGCAGTGTCTAAACAAAAGTCTTTTAAACTTTCAAATGTGGATAATTCTGAACACACATGGATTTAAAAGCTCAAGTTTCAACGTTGAGCTGTAAACACTATTACTGATTGACTAAGATAAAGAATTCCTCTTTCTGAGATTAACATGTGATTGGTAAAAAAAAAATGGAGCATCTGTCCCTTTAATAAACTCTAAATGAAAAACGTCAATATTATCAGACAACAGATTGTAGTGAGCAATATGTCATATTAATATAAAATAAACACTAATTTGATATTGGCCCAGTACAATAAACACAATAATAATCAATAGAATACAGACTGCCCTGCGTAAAATACATAATAAACAACTATATCAACATTCTTCTTCAATAATACACCTCTATCATTGTCAATCTCTATTTCCACTCTGATTATACTCATTTATTACCTTCAGGCTCTTCAATTAACATCAATAAACCATTCCTAATATGTTTTTTATGCACTAATGTACAAAACAGGCAACAGGGAATATGTAAAATGTCAGACATAGTTTTAGAAGTTTTAGACTGTTATATGCTAAACTGTAAGAATATTTCTCATTTTGATTGCTTCGGAGCCGTCATTAAAATGTTTAAAAGCCTAACTGGCAAAGTTAAAATCTAACAATATAACTAGCAATGTAAAAATTTAGCAATGGAACTGACAATGTCAAAGTCCAGCAATATCAAAATCTAGCAATGGAACTGACAATGTCAAAATCTAGCAATGGAACTGACAATGTAAAAGTCTAGCAATGGAACTGACAATGTAAAAGTCTAGGAATGTCAAAATCTAGCAATATAACTAGAAATATCAAAATCTAGCAATGGAACTGACAATGTCAAAGTCTAGGAATGTCAAAATCTAGCAATGGAACTGACAATTTAAAAGTCTAGCAATGTCAAAATCTAGCAATATAACTAGAAATATCAAAATCTAGCAATGGAACTGACAATGTCAAAATCTAGCAATGGAACTGACAATTTAAAAGTCTAGCAATGTCAAAATCTAGCAATATAACTAGAAATATCAAAATCTAGCAATGGAACTGACAATGTCAAAGTCTAGGAATGTCAAAATCTAGCAATACAACTAGAAATATCAAAATCTAGCAATGCAACTGACAATGTCAAAGTCTAGGAATGTCAAAATCTAGCAATGGAACTGACAATTTAAAAGTCTAGCAATGTCAAAATCTAGCAATATAACTAGAAATATCAAAATCTAGCAATGGAACTGACAATGTCAAAATCTAGCAATGGAACTGACAATGTAAAAGTCTAGCAATGGAACTGACAATGTAAAAGTCTAGGAATGTCAAAATCTAGCAATATAACTAGAAATATCAAAATCTAGCAATGGAACTGACAATGTCAAAGTCTAGGAATGTCAAAATCTAGCAATGAAACTGACAATGTCAAACTCTAGCAATGAAACAGACAGTGTAAAAATCCAGCAATATAACAGTTGGTAATCAAACGAGAAGAATAATGCTGCTATCTGGGAAATTTGTCACTGTTCCCTCCATGATATAATCTTCATTAGCCAAATAAAAACACAAAAGCAGTAGATGTTGCTTCAGCTTTTGGACATTTGAAATGAAAATTGCACCCTGTATTCTTCTCAGTTTAGAATAGTATTTCTATTTATAAAAAGACCCAAAGTACATAAGTTGATATATCTCATAAAACTGGATGAATTCTTCTGTAAGTTGTGACATAAGCTATTACAAGGAACTAATCCCTGGGATTTACCTTGACAAGTAGGAATCATACAGGGATTAAAAAAAAGTGTGTGAATCTGATTCTGTTTATCAAATATTAAGTGTTCAATTATAACAATATTTATTTTATGAATTCCATTCAATAATAACTTAAAAACTGAACAAACTTTTGAAATGTCAATGTTGACACCTATATAATGATATGTTCATGGTTGTTTAAACTTTAATAAAACATGTGTAATAGTGATATGAGATTAAGAATTTATAAAAATGTTAGTTATATTACCATAATATTGCTCTAGTTGACATATTATTAAAACCCTTATTTATATTATATGTCAAACTGAAATAATACTTCTGAAGAGAAAAAGTGTCTTAGATATTTGCTTTACCAGCTTTAAGTTCTCAATTCAGCTTCCGTGGCACTTTTAAGAATAAAATCCATCCCCTAGTTGTATTCTAATTAAATAGATGTACCATGAAAGTCAATTGTATCAACTGGGAAATCCAATAGACGCATATTTCCCTTCAACCAATGAGATTACTGATAATTGTAGTTTACAGTGATACACAGATAGGTGACCATGTTGACAAATGCAGAAACAGAATGGAATGGATGTTAAGTGGACCTACTTGGTCACAGAAAGCAGAAAGAATTGCAACGCATCTAATATTAAGAAAATTTGGTACAATCAATTGATAAAATTACACAAAACTATTATCAACGATTTTGAAAACCAGCCAAATTGAAAATTGACGTTGCTGTAACATTTTAAATAAAAATAAACATAACCTTCAACAAATCAGGATAATTACATTTAGATAGTATATGTAGCAAATTACCCATGATCCTCTTTTAAAAATGTGAACTTTCTGCAAGGCATGACTCAATTCTCAAGATACATTACAACACAGTTAACCTTTAAAAGAGCAAAAAAAAGAGCAGAATTGTCTCGTAGCTATGAATTCAATGCCACAATATAAGGATACAGTAATGAAATGAAAGTTTTACTCTGATTGAAAACCAAAAACACAATGCAAATGCCGTGTGCATGAAGAGAAATGTTTTTTGGAACCCTTTTACTTTTTCCATCTTTCAGGGAATCTTATCTGCCACTCCAAACAATTAGAACCCAGGAAAACAATTATCAAACAAACTCTGTATAATGTATGTTCCTAATTGACAATAATTAAAGATAAAACTGTTATCAACATTTTGTTCATTATAACACAATAATCATTATTTTACTGTATTTTTCACAATATCCACTCTTCAACAGATTGTGATGGGTTTGATCTTCACAACAATAATTCAGTATGTAATTCAGTGTGACTTGTAAATCTGAATTTGTTTTAACATTTTAAAGTGATTAAATGATGAAATTTATCATTTTGTACCATTTCAGAAGAAAAGTCAGTTGTAGTCACTCTTTCAGTAGATTATTTAGCTAAATAAGGTATAGGAAAGTAGGGTGTAGAATTCTTCTCTTCATGTATTAAACTCTCCAATGTAATTTGTAAATCAATTGCTACTGCAGGCTATAATACTTTAAATCAAGCGAACTAATTGATTTATACACTGCATTTATCTAATTACAACTATAAAACATGGAACACTAAACAAATATTAGCATCTAAATCTGCCTCTTGAGTTGTTACTTAATTCAAAATCTAGCTGGAGTGAAAACTTGAGGCTATAATTTCACAGACAGAAGTATTTCTATTGTATTTTAATTGAAATGAAATTGCTATATTATACCATTCCTTTCTCATACATCTATATCAAATATTTTACATTAAATTAGCTGACAAACCCAACAATTCAGCTGAAGTCTGCTGCAAGTAGGAAAATTTACGTGGCTTTACAACAACCTGCCAGATTAACCTGAGGCTTATAAACTTTCTGATACTTCATTCAAGGGGTTTATGTGCCAATAATATATATATATATTTATTCTTTAAGGGATGGTAAAACTTCTTCGTGTATCAAGGACACTTATAGCATCAATTTGCATCATTCCAAATTTCAATCAGATGTCTCAGGGTCCTGTAATTCCAATTTGGAATGATGCAAATTGATGCTATAAGAATAATAAACTTCAGAAAACCTCTTTACAATCCCTTTAAGAATTTACATAGAGAAAGGGAAAAACAATAGTATCCAAGGTGCAGAAAGTTTAGCATTGACACCATCCAAACTAATTAGCAGCAACACAGATATTGTGAGCCCTATATCTATGGCAAAGTGACATATATACATACAGATCCCTTAGAGCCTCATTAGACCTGATTTAATGACTTGACTTCTCACAAAAGCATAATAGAATTTTCATTGCTCAGACAATAAGTGTATGGAGAGGAATAATTCCTCCTAATCCAGTCTTCAGAGTTCATTACCCAGGCTTTGAGATTCAGAAAGCACTAAAAGACTTGATATCACAGACAACAGATTTATTCAACTAAAAACAAAATGTCAAAGACGATTCCAATTATAGCTTTGAAATTTACTCACCATAAAATTCCAAAAAGAATAAAATTCTGTCTTTGTTCTGATGGTATTTGAAATATCTCAGATATATTACAATTTGATTACAACTGCTCCCAGTTCTTTTTTCATATTTATTGACTGATAAAGTAGAGATTTAGAACATGATGAAAGGAATCTGCAAATTGCATTATTTTCAGCAATAAA